TTCCTTTCGCTCCATCTTTGATCAAAATACACTTTTGAAGACCTCACAAACGAACAGGAAATGTGCTCAAGAAAGCTCGAATGGAAAGAAATGGGATTTAAAGTCTTAAAAGTTACGATGGCTCCAAGATACATGTCAATTTGGACGACGAGGAATAGAATGCACAAAACGAACTATTCGGACTGAATGCTTTATGGTCTAGGGAAAAAGGTAAGCTGCCCTCCTCCTACTGTATTGCATTTTGAATTTTCTAAAAATACTTTTAGGACGTATGATTTAAAATTAAATGCGCTTCTAATATTTCGCAATTCGCTAAGAAGCTGTCCGGAGAACGTCACACTGCAAAGCACATCGATGAGGCTTTCGTCAAGTTCCCCTCTCGCTGGGACTTAAATGCCATAACTGTGATAATCTATAGAGATTGAACACAGCTGCCAAACAAATGTTAAATACAATAAATTATCCGCCAAATCATGATAACAAATACCATAACAAATACGAAATATCCAACAACAAACAAATGCCAAACAGATGATCTGTTACCTGAATGCCACCTGAAATACGCCAGGAGCAAATGTTTATCGAAGGTAATCCCACAGTACCCGAGCAGTTTGAAAATCAAAATAAAATACCAGCTCATTTGTCAAGTAATTGTCAGTACAGAAATGCAGATAAAAATGCGAATGTACGGAATTCTAGAGCTACAGTACCATTGTCCCCCATCCTCAGTTTAGAATGACACGTGAAAGAGAACCCTCTAGAATTTCTTTAAAAATGGTTGCCAGACTCTAATGGCAAAAAAAGAAAAAAAAATTCACATAAAGAAATTAATTTCCCGAAATCGTCCAAGCTGAAGGCTATGTTGTGCGGATACCATCGCTGCATTTCTTAGAGCGATATAGAAGTTCAAAATTCATGATTTTCTCAAAGAAGTATTTCATTAGACAAGGTTTAAGCTCGTGTATTTTTCGAACAAGGACTCCAAAGCATAAAAACTTGCCTTTGTTTTGTATGATAGCTAAGGTAATATTTTCAGAAAATTAAGGCAGCTCCAAACGAAAATGTATCATTTTTTGAGCAGAGACATATCATTGAGTGGAGATGTGGAGTCAAATCCTGGTCCTGCAAATCAGTGTTGCAAATCAGTACCTTTTATATCGCCCACAAATTCTGTTGTTTATTAGAACTCAGATTGTCTCAGTTAGGCAGAACTGCACTTGATGTTGGAGGAGGTGGTGATTGCTTTTTTAGGGCTGTATCACATCAAGTTTATGGAAATCGTAATAGCCATTTCTATGTGCGCAGTGTTGGCATTCAGTATTTAGTGAATCATCCTGAACAATTTATAGAGAGTAAAACTGGGCATTCTTGGCAAGGTTATTTGGAAAGGATGCCATGTCAAGGAACATGGGCTGATGCTATCATAATTCAAGCTGTTACCAATTGTCTTAATTTATCAATTCATATTGCTGAATCAAATCCAACTTTTTCTCCAGTTACTGTTGTTGAACCAGTGAATGTTACAAATGCCCTAAACAATTACATTGGATACCTAGATGAGTTTCATTATGTTTCCATAGTAGAAAACACAACAATGGAGATAAGAGACAACAGCAAACAAACAAAAAATGCAGATGAAAACAAACCAGTTTGATAACAGATAATGATATATGAGAGAATACATGAAAGACAGAAGAGCTGATGATAACTTTAGAATAAATGAGAATCAAAAACGAGTACATGGCAACAACATTAATAGCAAAACATCTAGGAACAAGAAACACCAGGCTGCTAAAAGAATAAAACTGAACCCANTGCGCAGTGTTGGCATTCAGTATTTAGTGAATCACCCTGAACAATTTATAGAGAGTAAAACTGAGCATTCTTGACAAGGTTATTTGGAAAGAATGTCATGTCAAGGAACATGGGCTGATGCTATCATAATTAAAGCTGTTTCCAATTGTCTTTATTTATCAATTCATATTGCTGAATCAAATCCAACTTTTTTTTTTCCAGTTACTGTTGTTGAACCAGTGAATGTTACAAATGCCCTAAACATTTACATTGGACACCTAGATGAATTTCATTATGTTCCTATAGTAGAAAACAGAACAATGGAGATAAGAGACATCAGCAAACAAACAAAAAATGCAGAAGAAAACAACCCAGTTGATGGCGGTGAAAAAACGTAAAGCTTACAGAAGAAAATACATGAGAGAATACATGAAAGACAGAAGAGCTGATGATAAGTTTAGAATAAATGAGAATCAAACACGAGTACAAGGCTGCAACATTAATAGCAAAGCATCTAGGAACAGGAAACACCAGGCTGCTAAAAGAAGAAAATTGAACCCAGAACATGTCAGAGAAATTGAGCAGCGCTCCTTCAGAAAACGAAGAGCAGAGAACCCGCAGCACATAAGGCAAATAACCAAACAGTCGGTAAGAAAAAGACAGAGGGCTAAGGCTCTGGCAAGTGTATTGCAACTAACTGCAGCAGTCATGAGTTGCAGCCACAAGAAAACAAATACGATGCAATTTCTATGACAAATTTGTTTTACAAAAACATTGCATGTGGCCCAGAATGTATGCACTTGTTGTGACCAGTAATGTGGTCCAAGTGCTCTGTAGTGAAGTGTGATCCAAACAAATATAGGGCATGTTCACTAGACATTGTTGAGTCCTGTCTTACTGGTTTTAAAAGTGTCAATAACACTGAATGGATCTGCATCACTTGCAATAAAAAAAAATCTAAAAAAAGTCTAAAGAAGTAATTGTCTAACTTGCAATAAAAAAAAGGTCTAAAACAAGGCAGGTTATCCAGCTGTTCTAAAGCCAATAAGATGGGTTTTCCTTATAAGCCTAATGTATTGAGTTTCACATCACTAGAAGAGCGCCTACTATCACCTCGTACACCTTTTATGCAAATCCGTGAACTACCTAGAGGTGGTCAACATTGTTAATGTGCCAAGTGATGTAAATTCAACTGTTCATTGTCTCCCAAGGCCAATAAGTGAATCACAGACCATTCCAATAAAACTTAAAAGGCGACTTGGTTAAAAGCATCACTATAAGTTTCAGAATGTCAGACCTAAGAAAGTATTAGATGCAGCCAAATATCTTGTAGACACTAGTGAATTATTTAAAACTGAANGTGTGGAGTTAGAGACATTGATTGAACTTGAACATTCTATAAAACATTCTAGTTGAACATTGCCTTGAAAAGTTCTCGTCTTAATGGTGGCAACACTAAGTTGGATCAGTTGGGACAAACCTGTTATAACCCCATTAATGCTTTTCGCTGTTGTGTTTCATTTATTTATTTATTTTATTTATTATTATTTTTTTTTACAAAAGGGGGGATGTTACATCATGCATTGTCATAGCTTGTTACATCATGCATTGTTAGTTGGTCCCAGCATGCCTTGGGGGGCGTAATAAAAACGTGGCATCCATCTTTGATTTCTTTATGTTTTCGTGCAGCTACAACACTAGCGGAGCGGCGCGAAAACTGGGGATGATAAATAGCAACATGAAGACCGAATAGTGACAAAACTATGGCTACTGACTTAACAAGCAACTGTATGATGCTTACACGAACACCTGAGATGTTGAAGAAATCCGGGATCAAAAAAGAAGACATTCTGGCATTCATCGTCCGAATCGTCCATGTTTATGTTTGAAAACAGAGTGCTGTAAAGCGACGTGAAGCAGTCGGCGGCAAAGAAGAGGAGCCTGCACACATTGTAGTCAGTTGAATGAAAACCCAACGCTTCCTACCGCTCCCTTACCGACTCCCCTATCCCCAATAAAATCTCTTCATTTTCGAGCTGATACCAGTTTATTTTTGTTTATTTTAGTTTTGAGAATTTGATTTCACATATTTTTCTCATAATTATTATAATTGTGCGATATTCCGGAATGTCCCGGGATGTTCCGGGATGTTCCGGAATGTTCCGGAATGTTCCATGTTCCAGGTCTTATCAACGGCCGTTGCAGCCACAAGAAAACAAATACGATGCAATTTCTATGACAAATTTGTTTAACGCAAACATTGCTTGGGGCGCAGAATTTGTATGCAGTTGTTATGACCAATAATATGGTTCAAGTGCTCTGTAGTGAGTGAAATGTGATCCAAACAAATATAGAGCATGTTCACTAGACATTGTTGAGTCCTGTCTTACTGGTTTTAAAAGTGTCAATGACACTGAATGGATCTGTAGCACTTGCAATAAAAGAGGTCTAAAAAAAAAAAGTCTAAAAAAGCAATTGTCTAACTTGCAATAAAAAAGGTCTAAAACAAGGCAGGTTATCCAGCTGTTCTAAAGCCAATAAGATGGGTTTTCCTTATAAGCCTAATGTATTGAGTTTCACATCACTAGAAGAGCGCCTACTATCACCTCGTNCAAGGCAGGTTATCCAGCTGTTCTAAAGCCAATAAGATGGGTTTTCCTTATAAGCCTAATGTATTGAATTCCACATCACTAGAAGAGCGCCTAATATCACCTCGCATACCTTTTAGACAAATCCGTGAACTACCTAGGGGTGGTCAATTGTCTATTCATGGAAACATTGTCAATGTGCCAAGTGATGTAAATTCAACTGTTCATTGTCTCCCAAGGCCAATAAGTGAATCACAGACCATTTCAATAAAACTTAAAAGGTGACTTGTTTACAAGCATCACGATCAGTTTTAGAATGTCAGACCTGAGAAAATATTAGATGCAGCCAAATATCTTGTAGACCCTAGTGAATTATTTAAAACTGAAGGCATAAAAGTGCAAAATTCATGGGTAGATGGCATAACCTCACAATCAAGCACCCATGAAGAGTGGGGTGAGTTTGTTCAAAACCCTAACACATCCAGTGCTGATGTGCAAACTAATGAAATTGTCACAAATTGTCAAAACAATATTTGCACTGCTGATGTTCATAATCTAGACAGAGAAAAAGACACTGAAGGATTATGTTTCCTGTCATAATGTTACATATATTAGATGAAGACCATATTTCTATAAACATGCTCAACTAATGGCTGCTTATTAACATCATGCACTTTTCAACTTAAACACCTTACAAATGGAACACTTCAAACAGTAGTTCCAAAAGAGGCAAAGGACAACACTTCATAGAATAATTACCACATGCCATGAGGTAGCTCGAAGGAGCCTTTGATTTGTTTCTGTACTCGTTTAATGAAGCGTTTACTCCTGATTCTGGTTAAAAATGAACATGAGTGTATTCCATTTTTGTCTTCCCAGTCAAACACCCACGATTTTCCTGTATGAAATTTTCTGCAGCACTCGAAACGGACGGACGCACCCGGCAATTTCAGGAATTTAAATAAAGATAGAATCAGGAGTGTAGTCAATACATTTATCAGTGAAAGGGGGAGAGTGAGACAGTTTTGCGTGCGCCCGCCGACCTGTCCGGAAAACAGGTTTTCTACTGTACAAATAACTGTGCAATTTAACAAATTGACGTCATTTTTTTATGCGTCTGTCCTGTTATTGATGATAAATTGCGTCATACATTGTCAAAGTGGCTGTGGAACCACGAGCCGCAGGCGAGTGGTTCCGCAGTAAACTTTAACAATGTTATGACGAAATTTATCATCAATAAGAGGACAGACCCATAAAAAACTGACGTCAATTTGTTTTTTACAAAAACAAGACCCCAAAATGGCCAACTGCCGGGATAAATGAATGGAAAAGACGCTGTAAACTTGCCGTAAACGAAGATAACTGAATTTTATTTAAAATGACGCGAACATTGTCAATAGCTTTTCTCGCTTTTTGATTGATTACTTAAAAAAGTCCATAAAATATCATTGGTTAAAAAGTTGACAGTTTGACAGCTGAAAGTTTAACTTGAAAGCTTGCATAAATTAAAATTTTATCCGTCTGTACTCTTATTGATGATAAAAATGAGCCAATCAGCGCGCGGGAAATTAGACAGTTATTGTAAAAATCGCTGTATATCTTTACTGTTATCTGGACGATATTTGCTGCAGTTGGGATAATAATGCTAGTAAATACAGTTAGCATTAGTCTCAGTGAATTTGTATTTTACGAAAGTATGGTAGTTAGACGTAACGTAGACCGAATCTGTATTTGATTTGCTAATGTTTAAAAAGACGTATGTCACGATCTGTGTTACGTGACATTAAGAACTGTCAAGCATCACACAGATCAATAGTGAAACATTGCAAAGCACGTGCCTCTGGGAGTAAAAACCTACAAGCTTGTTTCGTCTATGACACGGATGTTTGGCTCCAGCGTGACAGGAGCAGCCGGGAGGTCAAATCCCTGCCTTTTTCCCGAGGGAAGAAAACCGTGTTTCCAGGATGGCGTGACATTGGGTGACAAACGATTAGTTGCCTCAGTAAAGGGCCACAGCGTTGGATTGTAAGAATGTTTGCCATTCAGTGATGACGCCACACTTTTGACGGACAAAGGGCGCTGGGANACATGTCTGCCACGCAGGACGAAAGTGCAACGCTACACCCTTTTGCGTTCGTGATGACTAGACATTCGTCTATGTGACCCTAAGAGAAAAAACCGGCTGCCAGCAGACTACCAAGAGCATAGTCTCATAATTTTTTCATGACCGCTATTACGCAAGATAGATGATTATAGGTCACTCATAGCTTGAGCTGTCTGTGCATCTCCATAATTGAGTCGCTTTGTTTGCTTTGTTTATTCGCTGCTTTTGAGAACTTGTGTGTGTTTGGGAAGATTATTGTATGATATTCGACGTTAGAACCGGGCCCTGGTTGAACCCTACTTGTCAGACTTAACACATGAACTGTAGACTCACCGCTACAAAAAAAATGACCGCACGAAACCCTGGGGGCGGCGCGCTTCAAGCTCCCAGGATTTCACTCGGCCATTTCTTTCTTGCGACTTGTTTACGGTCACGCTCGACAGACTTAGCGAAAGAGTGGACGACTCGTGGTCTAAATGAACTGACAATTCGTCTCTGATAGCCTCTTTAACCTCTTAGTTCAAACGCTCAACAGTTAGCTTATTAACCAGGACAGTTCCAGAGAGAATATAGGACGGAGAAAGGAGATTATAAGCACCGGGGAACTTACGAAAGCGAGGATGAAACACGAATTGGCGAATCTTTGAAGAGTATTGGAAATCAAGGGAGACTAAGTAAGTGTGCGTTTTGATAGCTTTAGCATTTTTTTACTTCTCAAGACATAAAAAACTTATATAGTTGATCTTATTTTGAAAAAGAAGAAATTATGTACTTAAAATTAAAACATTAATAACTGCATCGCGAAGTACAGCGACATTAATATTTGTGTCAAGACCAGCCCTCTCTTGCAAGGTACAGCTGGCGTGACTTAGCGAGCGTGTCACAATTAGGTTTTGTTTTCCTTCTGATTGGATGACAAAGTGGCGTGAAATTTTTTCAACAGTTCTGAGCAACCCCCCCCCCCCACAAAAAAATAAACAAACAAACAAGCAAACATTTACTTTTAAGTGAAAACCGCTCTAAACGGAAACAGTGGATAAACTTGATTGATTTTCAGTCTTTCCTAGAGCTTGGTATTCCTGTGTTTCGCCAGATATGGGCACGTTAACATTCCGCGTCGCTCAACCTGGTGATCACAGCGACGTTGTAAAGATGTCTGAAGGAATCTACAGTGGGAATGATTATCTACCACTCAAATTTCACCAGTGGCTCCAGAGGGAGAATTTGACTGTTCTTCTTGGTTATTCTGACGACAAATTGGTCGGTTTGCAAGCATGTTTTGTGGTAGATGAAGGTCGGACGTATATTCGTCGGGCAGGACGCATCCAGCCAGAACTTCGAGGCCAAGGTCTTGGGCGTCAACTGAGAGAATGTGCAAGAAAACACGCCATAGATCATTATCCCAGCCTACAACGAGAACGATTCACCACAACTTTCGACAATGCAAGCTCTGTGGATCAAAGAAAACTTTTAGAAAACGATATCTTGTCATATCAGGTTCAAAAAAAATTGTCTTGTCAAGCTGCAATTTTCACGACAAATGCGGTCGAGATAGAGATGTGCTCGAAAGAATATTTTTCCAGTGTTATCCTCTCTAGCCCCATGAGAGGGGAGCTTTTCCCGGCCAACGTCATTGTCGTTAATTGGTGTCCTTTCGAGCCTCTCCGATCAAATATCGATTACATGCTACAAGAGAGCGATGAAATGTTCGTCGACAAATGTGGTGACGATGCTTTACCAAGATCGTTTAGTTTTGGGACTTTTTCGCCGAGAGTAAAATTCGTGCAGTGGCTGGCTGCAGTTTACACCAGAGATCCCGTCCTTTTTGAAGCGCATCTTCTGCACCAATTGAAGCGAGCCCGTGAAGTCATCAATGGTGACTTTATTTTCATTTCTTTTCAAGACAAAAACTTAACTCCCACGGCGAGGAAAGTGATGGAAGAACAGCTGCAATTGAAAGAGCACGATTGGTACATGAAAAAGACGATGAAACTCTTTCAGAGAGATGTTACAAGGTAAACGGGCGAAGTTTCAAAAGTCCATGACCACTAAAACCAAGACTAACCTGTTGAACTGTAAATCATGTAAATAGAGTTTACCCAAATACAGATTAAATCTTTGTAGGAAGACAAAAAAAAAAGCAAAAGATGGCAATATATGCGCTGGGAGTTGCTAATTTATCCGCACAGTGTAAACCATGGAAAACTGTGCTTTATTGTATCACATTTAATCAGAGAGCAGTTTAATAAGTGATCGTCATGAAACATTTAGATACAAATTTTGAGAACACTCGGTCGGTAACAAGAGATATGCACAAAACATGGGTCGGGGGAAATGTTAAATTCAGTTTTCTACTTAAGTCTTATGCTCAGACTCGGGGGAAAACGACCATACAAAACAGCTAAAATTTAGGCCACAAGTTGAGAGCGCGGAAAGCTCTTTCGCGGCCACAGCTCACGATACAAAGCATTCGCGCGTGCGTCGCGCCAGCTTCATCAGACGAATATGATACGCTATTAAATCACCGCTGATCAGAGGTTAAACATACAGTTCACTGAAGAAGCAAGCTGTCAAAAACAGCGAAAAAACAACAACCTCCAGAATTATTAGAACAAATTCAACTTAAATGTCTACAGAATGCACGAAAGTTTTTTACTTACTTGCTCGGATCCTTAATAAGGAAAAATAAGTTTTTTTCAAAATTAATCGGCCGATCGTTCGCCGGAAACGAATCATGCGCAGAAAGCGAATTTACTGCTGGTAAGTAACATATTCTACCGTTCTCTTATCATAGTGTGTAACCTAGCAGTGTACGGTTAGTAACAAAATGGCGGCCGCTTCTTTGCTTTTGCGAAGCATGTGTGATAATTATAAGGATTTAGATAAAGTTTTGTAACGACTAGAAGATATAGTTGACTCGGACTGCGCCATGGTCAACTATCACGCGATAGAAATCTCGAGCCTATTGTTAAATAGCACGTTTTAGTTAGCTTCGAACTGGACAGACTTATGAGCAACTTGAGAATCAGGCCCGGTGTCGATGAATATATAGAGTAAGCTAAGTACATACGTATTGCCATTGCGCATTCATATACATTTTTTAATTTTTTAATTTTTTTAAAATTTTTTAACGAAGACTAGTGAGCAGCACAAGGGAAGACTTCTTATAGTTGTACGCTTTTTCGTTTATTTCCGACGCGTTTCGTGTCTATCTGAGACTTCTTCAGCGAATGATTACAACTAACATTGAACAGCATATATAGCACATAAGCGTGCCTTGGAAGTGAATAACTGCTGAAACATGCTGTAAACGGACGTTACAAGAAACGCCTCAATGCGTATGGTATTGCGCGTTGTTATATTTTTGGGGCCATACGATTAGCGCTAATCGTGTGCCCCCCCCCCCCCCCCCNGCTAAAGTAGTGGTAGATTTATAACTGACAATACAGTCTAAGTCTGGTAAATGTCTCTGGATAACCAGCTTGATGTTAGCGTGACTACAGTCAAATGTAGATTTAAAGACTACCATTCCACTCTACCGTTGCGCGATTTGCGTCTTAGCGAAAGCCATTTAGTTCTGTTACTGTATTTAACCTCCCTTAATAAAGAAAGTGAAAACCCAACTGGGTAACCGCGAAGCCGGAGACGCTTCCAGAATTTCTCACGCGTTTCGCTAAAGACTTTAAACGTGGAGCTATTTCTGGTATAGCGCATAAGCTCGCCTCTAATAAAGGCCCCCTTGTTGCTCGCGGGATGAAACGACTCGAAGGGATTATTGAACAGATACTTATTTAGTGGCTTTTGAGGGGTAGAAAACTGCAGAGTGCTAACATTAGCATCTTTGTAAAGAAATAAATCCAGAAACGAAATACTACTTTCGTCAATAACATACGTAAGTTTGATACGATCATTCTTGCTATATTGAGACAACTAAGAAACTCTAATAGGTTTTCTTTGGGACCCTTCCAAACCAAAAATATGTCATCGATAAACAGCTCGTACAAAAGTTGATGCTTAGAAAATTGCGTGACGACATCCTTTTCTAAAAAATACATGAAAGTATTAACGGCCCTGACTGCAAAAGGTGTTCCCATAGCAATCCCAAACGTTTGATGAAAAATATCTCCACAAAATTCCGTTTTGAGAAAGTTATTCTCAAAAACGAGTCTAGAGAACTGAATCAGAAGTGGTGTCTCAGGTGCTCCTGCCTCCCGAAGCAGCAGGTCGAGAGCTAGCAATGCTTTCTTGATATCCACACTGGGATAGAGTGGGATAACATCAGCTGTGACAAGAAAGCAGTGTGGTGGCAACCTGATAGACTCCAGAGCTTGAATCAGTTCTCCGGAATCCCTAAGAACAGTAGGCATTTTAAGCCTAGGCTTAACATATTCATCTACAAAAATGCTAAGAGGTCTAGTGATGTAACTATGCGAGGCCGCAATCGGCCGATCCAGCATGGGATTTTTGTGTATCTTATGTCCCCAGAAATGAGGAAGATGCGACCCCGGAGGGGTACTGCCATATATGGCTATATAGGTATGTGCCGCTGTGAAGGCTATGGTTTTCAAGCAGTTTATTCTAGCAAAGGGTATATAAATCAGAGCGTTTGGGTCTAGAATAGGGTATCATTTTTTACGAAGCTGATCAGTTAGTTGAAGATTTTATCTAAACTAAGGAAACCAGTAATTGGCACTCAAAAATATAAAAAAATGAAATCGACAAGTTTAAATTTTTGACACTCAGCCTCAACAGCGTCGATAGATGACTATCATTAAAACACTACTGGATATTATTAACTGTCAAAAAACGGGATTCAGACGGAAATCGGTAGTTTTAATACTGGTTACTCTAGTATAGGGTAGCAAAATTCAGCTGAACTNTGAAAAGATTTATTAAAGATTAAAATGCCCCTAGAAATGTGGAAGATGCGACGAAATGTTGTAATACACTCGAAATGTTTTAATGCAGGAACTTGTTCGAAATGTCAGGCGACGCCGTGTCATGGCCGAAGAACTGGAGAATCTAGCGGGACCGTAGGAATATGGTAAACCGAAATCAATGAGAAGGACTGTTGAACTCGTCTGCCGCGCGATACGAGCGTCTGGTAGATACTATTGGCAAATTCTTTGGCAGGCGTCTGTCACTACGCACAATGTGATTGGCTGCGGCACTTACCAGGACAAGTTATACCATCTCGCGAGGTAGTATAACTTGGCGTGAATTTCCGGTCATATTGGCGAGATAATCGCTTGTTTTTTCTGGTGAAAACAGCGTGCATTTTAAAATCGCTAAACTCAAGACGAACCGTTTTCACTGCATTTCCGGACTTTTCCGACTTTATCTAGCCAAAGTTGTCCTCGTGAAAACACAAACAATATAGAACCTAGTTGGAGACAATAAATGATCATAACTACGCAAGAATTTAGCGGCATTAGCGGCCATAAATCTGCTAAAAGTTAACATAAGCTTTTCGCGGGTATTCTGTAGCCAGTTAACACCCTTTTGGGCACATATATATACTTTCCCGTGGCTTATGTTTTCTACGTACACTCTCTTTTACTACAAGAATATATTTTATAACAATATCGAGGCTGAAATTTGCGAAATTTTAGGAATAATTTAAGAATAAATCCGAGCCTCAGATTTTGAAAAGAATATAATTTTGTGTGTCGAACATTTGTAAATACAGTACCATTATATGTTTTTTACTAAACGCTATAAAATTCTTTCTTTCTTTAAACGGCAAAACTAGCCAAAAAAACAGCAAAAACAGCACTTGCCGTATGTTACATTCCTAAGAAGTACATGAGTTTTAAACACGTGTGCAGCAGCCAGGCTGTCATGCGCTGCGGCACGAGCGACGAGGGTTCGGTAGACGAGTAGGCGAGCGAAGCGAAACGCATTGTAGTCCATACTTGTCAGACGTCTGTTTTTCAGTGTATCTTTTCAGTGAGTTACTAGTTAGTTACCTTAGCGAGACATTACCGAGACTCTTAGGGAAGTGAAATTGTGTCAAGTTTGCCTTGAGGCATCAATTTCATACACTTACAACGTCTTTTTTGAGAAGCAATCGTATTCGTTCAGTTGCAGCGGTTCTCCCATTACTTTCCTTACCAAAGGAGTTAAGTCTTTGTCTTGAAAAGAAATGAAAATAAAATTACCATCGATTACTTCACAGGCGCGCTTCAATTGGTGCAAGAGATGCGCTTGAAAAAGGACGGGATCTTTGGTGTAAACTACAGACAGCCATTCTGCGAATTTTACACATGGTAAAAAAGTTCCAAAGCTGAGCGATTTTGGTGAAACATGGTCAGGACATTTTTCGACAAAAACTCCATCGCTCTCTTGTAGAATGTGATCGATATTTGATCGGGTAGGCTCGAAAGGACACCAATTCAGGACGATGATGTTGTCCGGAAATAGATGGCCTTTCACTGGACCCGAGAGAATAACTTTGGAAAAATATTTTCTCGAGCGTATCTCTATCTCCACCGAATTGGTCCTGGACATTTCAACTTCACCGTAAAATTTCTTTTGAACATGGCATGAAAAGATATCCAGCTCTAAAAGCTTTCTTTGATCCACAGAACTTACAAGATCCGCAGAAGTCGTGAATCGTTCTCGTTGTACACTGGGATAATGTTCTCTGACATATTTTCTTGCATATTCTCTCAGTTGTCGCACAAGACCTTGGCCTCGAAGCTCGGCCAGAATTCGTTCTGCTCGACGGATAAATGTCCGACCTTCATCTACCACAAAGCATGCTGTTAAACCGACAAGTTTGTCGCCAGAATAAGCAAGTAGAACAACCAAATTGTCCCTCTGAAGCCATTTGTGAAATGTTAACGGAAGATAGTCTTGTCCATCGTAAATTCCGTCAGATAGTTTTACAACTGCATCGAAATCGCCAGACTGAGCGAGACGGAATGTTAACCGGGTAGGTGTTGACGCATTCATCCCAAGACACTGGAATCCAATGCTTTCTAGGTAAGACAGAAAATCAATCATAATATTCACTGTTAAAACTCAATTTTGCTTTACGAGAGATATTTACAGTTCCATACTTTGTCCAGAGATAAACAATAAAATGAGGGGAGCGTGGAGTAGGGCAGTGAAATTTAGTTAGTGCTTTGTGGATTTGTATAGGTAATCGTATGAAAGTTCTCTCAAAATTGCACGAGCTTTTTATGCGAGTGACATTTGAAAGAATTTCAAATCAGTATCACGAGTAGTGTAAATCCCTAATTGATCGAGCTCTCTTACGATTACTCATTTATTGCATGACCGTCTAAACTGCGAATGCACGCGCGTTAATTTGCACTGCAGTGCAAATTAAGAATTTACGATAAATTGGCCTGCTCTCGGCCAATCACAAAGACGTAATTTTCCCACTCATATAATAAGACTTTTAACCAGATTCTCCGGTGGGGAATGGTCCGGTAAAGCCTACCCCACTAAAATGTGTTCACCTGAATAGTGTTCGATGCCTCCTGTCTTTGAGTTTTTGGCTGCTACGCGCTAAAAAAATAGTATAGGTAATCATACGGTTAAGAGTTCAATTTGGAATTAATTTGCACGAGTAAGTTTTTCAAAAAGCTGAAATTGCACGGGCCACTTTTTTTACTTATTATAGGAGCTACGTCACGGTTTGCGCATATTGAAAAGTTTAGCCTCAATTTTTCAAATTCGTCGTTTGTAATCCGTGTCAATCTTCTCCATCCTTAGCCATCCTTGTTCCTTTATGGTTTATCATTATCTCTTTGGTGTTTTTCTATCTTATTAAACTGTTATTTTCAGGTTTCCTTCAATTTAAAGGTAATTTTATATGTGGCCAAAATAACTCAAAATACCGTGATTGAGCTCCTTTAATAATATAAACATGAAAAAATTGGCACTTTATTTACTGATTGGCTGATGAAGATCAGCTGATAATGCTACATATACGAACTCAAAGCGGTTCGTTTAAAAAGGTCTAAAAATATGTGCACATGGAATCGTCGAAGAACGTTTTCAATAGGATTTACAAGAAATTTGTAAGGAATCTCAAACCAAAATAAGGCAGAAAGTAATTTCGTGATCTATTTACAATAAGGTAGACTGTCTTAGCAGAAAAACTGGCTCAATCGCGGCACGAAATTCCGGTAAGAGGCAAACCGCTCGCGCACGCGTGGCATGGAAGTTATCGTTCAACTTTTCTGTCAGTAGATGGTCAACTAGATTCATGTCACTCACTATTTGGATAAGACAATCTTACCTTGACAATCTGCAATGGACACAGCAAATAACGAGACTTGCCACCGTGTTTGCAATTAGGCTCGCGGCGCGATCGAGGTGAGCCTGTTGTTAAATGCTAACACAATCTATATTCATATATTTTATTTCCTACAATCTGTTTCTTTTTTCGGGACAAAATAGTAAAAAAGAAAAAGAGGAAAAAATTGGCTTGACTCGTGGTTGACTCCAGGGTGACTCGTGACTCGAGGTTGACTTGCTTACGCGGTTCAGTGGTTCGTGTAACGATACAACTCTATAAATCAAGATAGCGGTTTGCAGCCATAACAACATGAATTTATTGCGCAATTTGGGCAAGAAAGACAAAATACTCAGTTTGAACCGAATGTACCATACGTACATATGGAAAAGGAAGTGTGTTAAATTTCCTTTTATTTTTCGTTTCATTTTCAGTTCACTTTTACGTTATAATAGAAGTTCCTTCAAATCAACGGCAACATCAGCTTAATGATTTTCTCGCCAGACAATCTCACGAGGTTGTATGAAATTCGACAGACTAGTAGCTGCGATAAATAAACAACAGCCTCCATTTGGCGTGAAATTATGCTCGGATATTTGTCTGCAGACATTATCTGTTCCGAGAAGAGAACAGTTTTCCGAGAGCGTAGCTCGAAGAGAACTGTGACCTTTAGGGAACAGATTATGTCCAAGCGGGACAAATATCCGAGCATATTTTCGCGCCAAATGGAGGCTATTGTGTTTATTACCATGATTTTTCGCAACACGGACGGTTCTGAAAATTGGGGAATATCACTCAGATATTCCTCAGTTTTAGCTGGGGAATATTCAGTCGCGTGACGTGTTAAGACCAACACCGGAAGCGATTACCTCAAGTTCAGAATTAAAAAATTAGGGACGTCGAAGCACTGATCAAGAGCACTCGACTTCGTGTTGATTTCCCACAATTTTTCCTTAGTACAATACTCCAGCGCTCAAAACCGTCAAACAAAAATACGAGCAAAATATCTTGTCTAAAGCGACACGAAAGGACAAAGTCGAACAATAATTGGATATGATAAAACCACGAACGCAGGACACGGCAAAACAACTAAACTAGAAATAAAACCGACGAAATGGCACTAAGAGAGGTAAAAACTGACATGCTTACCGATTGTCCTCTCTGTACGCCTGAGTAATTATAAACGCAGGATCCAAAAAACTTCGCAGTAAACGCAGTAAATTTTGCAAACGCGAAACACGGACCATGCACGCAGACGACTAGTGAAAACCCACGAGGTTCTGAAATACGATCTGACGGAAACGTCACTAACCTAGACAGTTACAATAGGAGATAATACCTCGTGATGATAATGAGATTACTGGCGGAATATCCAAGTTCTTTTGATCGAAGGAAATCACTTAATCTATTAAAGCCCGCTGAGTTTGTTAAATTGGTGGGCTTGACCCACTAACGAGTTGTTTAAAAGAGTATTCAGTGAAATATAAAGTGTAAAAATATTGAATTAATAATCAGAGTCCATAAAGGAAATTACAGCACAACGGTTTGTCCTCCAATAGGAAAAACAAACAGTAACGGATTCCACCGTTTTACGGAAAACGGAAAGATTTTTCAGAATGACTCGTAAATTTTAAGAAGTTGAAATTCACTGAAAACATTTCCTGGGACCCCTCTAGAAACTTGCAATTTGGTGCTTGTTGTTTTAGTAATCAGTCGCCATTTATCCTAGATCCGCTTCTAGCTTCCTTGTTCCTAAAAGTAATTGCTTAAGTTGCTGGCCTCGTTCCCTTAAATCCCTGGGAGGCTCTAAAGTAATAAGGATCGCAGTGAACGATGAAGTAAAAAGTAATCGTTTATGGGCTGATCACATCTCAAAAATAATAATAATAATAATAATAATAATAATTAAAAAACTGACTAACCTCGACAAACATTTATAACACAAGGCAACCTTGGACTAGTCAAAACCAGACTCGTAAACTGGCATCTTTTGATTCTTTTCGCTTCCAGCAAAGACTTGATCTTAGATTTATAGACCCCATTAATTAATAACTGGTCACTCTTGGTTTTATAATTAGTTGTCCTGGACTTGTGAAACGTCGCCAGTTTAGTTAGCTAGTTACAACTCTCTCAAAAAGTTTCATGGTCTTTTTCGTGTGCCAATCGTGCTCTTTCAATTGCAGTTGTTCTTCCATCATTTTCCTTGCCGAAGGAGTTAAGCTTTTTTCTTGAAAAAAAACCAAAAAAATAAAATCACTATTGATTACTTCACAGGCACGCTTCAACTGATGCAAGAGATGCGCTTCAAAAAGGACAGGATCTTTGGTGTAAAATGTAGCCAGCCATTGCTGGAATTTTTCTCTCGGCGAAAAAGCCCCAAAGCTAAACGATCTTGGTGAAGCATCGCCAGCGCATTTTTCGACAAAAGTTTCATCGCTCTCTTGTAGCATGTAATCGATATTTGATCGGAGAAGCTCCAAAGGACACCAATTCACGATGATGACGTTGGCTGGGAAAAGCTCCCCTCTCACGGGGCTAGAAAGGATAACACTGGAAAAATATTCTTTTGAGCACATCTCTATCTCGACCGCATTTGTCGTGGAAATTGCATCTTGACTTGACAATGTTTTGTCAACTTGGTATGACAAAATTCCCATCTCTAAAAGTTCTGTTTGATCCACAGAACTTGCAAGACCCGCAGGAGTCGTGAATCGTTCTCGTTGTACACTGGGATAATGTTCTTTGACATATTTTCTTGCATATTCTCTCAGTTGACGAACAAGACCTTGTCCTCGAAGCTCGGCCAGAATTCGTTCCGCTCGACGGATAAATGTCCGACCTTCATCTACCACAAAGCATGCTGTTAAACCGACAAGTTTGTCGCCAGAATAAGCAAGTAGAACAACCAAATTGTCTCTCTGAAGCCATTTGTGAAATTTGAATGGAAGATAGTCATGTCCATCGTAAATTCCTTCAGATAATTTTACAACTGCATCGAAATCGCCAGACTGAGCGAGGCGGAATGTTAACCGGGTAGGTGTTGAAGCATTCATACCAAAACATTGGAATCCAAAGCTTTAGCTACGACTGAAAATCAATCAAAATATTCACTGTTAAAACTTAACTTTGCTTTACGAGAGATAATTACAGTTCCATACTTTGTCCAGAGATAAAGAATACGATGACGCGAGTGGGGTAGGGCAGTGAAATCGAGTTCGTGTTTTGTCTAACGTCGACTTGACTTTTAAGCAGAATCTCCGGTGGGTGATGGGAAGGTAACTCCTACAGGAGATTTAGGGTGCGTTTCTTTATGAAAATCCAAGATTAGATTCTTAAATCCGAAAGAATCCGAAAACGGATTTTGCGTTTCTTTACTAAACGGATCAATCCAAGATCTCTGGGATCGTGGTGCGTCAAAGGAACCGAAGAATCCACACTGGGAGTGGATTCTTCGGTTCCTTTGACGCACCACGATCCCAGAGATCTTGGATTGATCTGTTTAGTAAAGAAACGCAAAATCCGTTTTCGGATTCTTTCGGATTTAAGAATGCGATCTTGGATTTTCTTAAAGAAACGCACCCTCAGATAAAGAAGACACTTAAGTGGCTCAAAACAGTTTCCAACACTTTCCAAGACGTAGATTATGATGGGTCATTATAACCACTCAAAATCTGTTGATGCTACAATCATGGTATCGAACAACTGCCCTATCATTGGTGAATATGATGGAGTCAATTTCGTGGCGCAAAATGTTACCATAGCAACAATACAACCTGTTGAAACACCCTTATTTTAGCTTGAGCGCTTATAACTTAAAAACGACCGCCATTTTTTTTTATTATCGAATGAATGATTTGCCAGTAATCGGATACCCATGTTATGCGCAAAGAACTCTGGGATCGCCAGGGGGCAAACATTGCAAGTCGCTAGAAGGAAATGTATAGCGAAAAGTTGTTTCGACGTCCAAAAAACCGATTTTGGGGAGAGATCAACGCTTTTTCACCGTTGTTTGATCGAAAATGGATTTGGGCAATGTTGATACATGGAAAATGTAAGTTTTCATTTGAATAACCGTGAAATATGTGATTAAAAGCTACCGATAACCACCCTTACTTGCGTGAGGTTTACTGCAAAATTTACATTGAATAGAATATTTAAAATTTGAAAACACTCCTTGTTCCGAGAGGCTACCCGGAGCAAAGGTAAGGGGCGACGAATGGTGAATCTCGCAAAATTTTCGCCGAGTTTCACGGGGGGTCTCGCTGTCTCGGTTTTCTAGTGGTTATATCCGTTTCGCAGTATCGATTTTTTTTTTCACAAAACTCTCTCGCAGTCTCATTTTTTTTTTGAGTTTTGACGTATCGATTTGTTTATTTTCTGAACGTCTCAGAATCTGAACGTCTCAAGTTCGCATTTAAAACATTGTGAAGTCACAGTCTCGCAATTAAAGAAGTTAAAATGTCTCGGGTTCACAAAGAAAACCGCTAGTCTCACTTTCTCGCAAAGTCTTGCATTTACCATTCACCACCCCTAAGGTAGAAAAGGCTCTCTGAGAAGTTAGATATAAAGACAGACAAGAAGCTCTAAAACAGAAAACGAGAACGCACGAGAAACTTATACCCTTTGTCACGCAATTTCAACTGCATTACCAAAATTTGAAAAGCATAATCAAGGACAAATGGCATATTAAATGCAAATACTCAGAGAGATATTTAAGGAGCCACCTAGAAAAGAAAAATCGCCTAAAGACGTGCTTGTAAAAGCAAAACAACAGCTTTGAACAACACAATGGCCACACAGCATGAGTCGCGGGGTCTGTTTACTCATTTTAATCAACCCCACACAGCACAATGATCGCCGCCGGGATTATTTCCAATATTATTTATATAACTGAGCTTCAAAATAAGGCAAAAGTAGCCTTACACAACTTGAAAGACTTTTCTGTGTTATTTCCTCTCGATTTATACCTAAGTTTGTAATATTTTCAGACCCTTAACGCGGTGTAAATTTCACAATAAACCTCACGCAAGCAAGGGAGTTTATTAGTAGGTTTTATCACATATTTTGGGGTTATTCAAACAAAAACTTACATTTTCCACATATCAATACTGCCCAAATTCTTTTTCGATAAAACGACGGCGAAAAAGCGTCGATCTTTCGCCAAAATCGTGTTTTTGGACGTAGAAACAACTTTTCGCTATACATTTCCTTCTAGCGATTTGCAGTGTTTGCCCCCTGACGATCCCAGAGTTCTTTGCGCAAACACGGGTATCCGATTACAGGCAAATCATTCATTGTGATAAGCATATAAAATGCAATTTA